TCGAGGAACTCAAGGTGACCGAGGAAATCGTCGAGGAACCCTAGGTGACCGAAGGAAATAGTCGAGGAACCCAAGGTGACCGAGGAAATCGTCGAGGAACTCAAGGTGACCGAGGAAATCGTCGAGGAACCCAAGGTGACCGAGGAAATCGTCGAGGAACCCTAGGTGACCGAAGAAATCGTCGAGGAACCCAAGGTGACCGAGAAAATCGTCGAGGAACCCAAGGTGACCGAAGAAATCGTCGAGGAACCCAAGGTGACCGAGGAAATCGTCGAGGAACCCAAGGTGACCGAGGAAATCGTCGAGGAACCCAAGGTGACCGAGAAAATCGTCGAGGAACCCAAGGTGACCGAGGAAATCGTCGAGGAACCCAAGGTGACCGAGGAAATCGTCGAGGAACCCAAGGTGACCGAGGAAATCGTCGAGAAACCCAAGGTGACCGAGGAAATCGTCGAGGAACCCAAGGTGCCCGAGAAAGTGACCAAAGAGGTTGAGCAGGACAAACTGTTGAACTTATTGAAAGATGTTAAACTCTCCAAGAAATCGAGGAACTTTCTTCAGCAGATTCTGAAGGTGAACGAGAAAATCGTCGGGGAACGCAAGATGACCGAGAAAATCGTTGAGGAACCCAAGGTGATCGAGGAAATCGTCGAGGAACCCAAGGTGACCGAAGAAATCGTCGAGGAACCCAAGGTGACCGAAGAAATCGTCGAGGAACTCAAGGTGACCGAGGAAATCGTCGAGGAACCCAAGGTGACCGAGGAAATCGTCGAGGAACTCAAGGTGACCGAGGAAATCGTCGAGGAACCCTAGGTGACCGAAGAAATAGTCGAGGAACCCAAGGTGACCGAGGAAATCGTCGAGGAACTCAAGGTGACCGAGGAAATCGTCGAGGAACCCAAGGTGACCGAAGAAATCGTCGAGGAACCCAAGGTGACCGAAGAAATCGTCGAGGAACCCTAGGTGACCGAAGAAATCGTCGAGGAACCCTAGGTGACCGAGGAAATCGTCGAGGAACCCAAGGTGACCGAGAAAATCGTCGAGGAACCCAAGGTGACCGAAGAAATCGTCGAGGAACCCAAGGTGACCGAGGAAATCGTCGAGGAACCCAAGGTGACCGAGGAAATCGTCGAGGAACCCAAGGTGACCGAGAAAATCGTCGAGGAACCCAAGGTGACCGAGGAAATCGTCGAGGAACCCAAGGTGACCGAGGAAATCGTCGAGGAACCCAAGGTGACCGAGGAAATCGTCGAGGAACCCAAGGTGGCCGAGGAAATCGTCGAGGAACCCAAGGTGACCGAGGAAATCGTCGAGGAACCCAAGGTGGCCGAGGAAATCGTCGAGGAACCCAAGGTGCCCGAGAAAGTGACCAAAGAGGTTGAGCAGGACAAACTGTTGAACTTATTGAAAGATGTTAAACTCTCCAAGAAATCGAGGAACTTTCTTCAGCAGATTCTGAAGGTGAACGAGAAAATCGTCGGGGAACGCAAGATGACCGAGAAAATCGTTGAGGAACCCAAGGTGATCGAGGAAATCGTCGAGGAACCCAAGGTGACCGAAGAAATCGTCGAGGAACCCAAGGTGACCGAAGAAATCGTCGAGGAACCCAAGGTGACCGAGGAAATCGTCGAGGAACCCAAGGTGACCGAGGAAATCGTCGAGGAACCCTAGGTGACCGAAGAAATAGTCGAGGAACCCAAGGTGACCGAGGAAATCGTCGAGGAACTCAAGGTGACCGAGGAAATCGTCGAGGAACCCAAGGTGACCGAAGAAATCGTCGAGGAACCCAAGGTGACCGAAGAAATCGTCGAGGAACCCAAGGTGACCGAAGAAATCGTCGAGGAACCCAAGGTGACCGAGGAAATCGTCGAGGAACCCAAGGTGACCGAGGAAATCGTCGAGGAACCCAAGGTGACCGAGGAAATCGTCGAGGAACCCAAGGTGCCCGAGAAAGTGACCAAAGAGGTTGAGCAGGACAAACTGTTGAACTTATTGAAAGATGTTAAACTCTCCAAGAAATCAAGGAACTTTCTTCAGCAGATTCTGAAGGTGAACGAGAAAATCGTCGGGGAACGCAAGATGACCGAGAAAATCGTTGAGGAACCCAAGGTACCCGAGGAAATCGTCGAGGAACCCAAGGTGACCGAGGAAATCGTCGAGGAACCCAAGGTGACCGAAGAAATCGTCGAGGAACCCAAGGTGACCGAAGAAATCGTCGAGGAACCCAAGGTGACCGAGGAAATCGTCGAGGAACTCAAGGTGACCGAGGAAATCGTCGAGGAACCCTATGTGACCGAAGAAATCGTCGAGGAACCCAAGGTGATCGAGGAAATCGTCGAGGAACCCTAGGTGACCGAAGAAATCGTCGAGGAACCCAAGGTGACCGAGGAAATCGTCAAGGAACCCAAGGTGACCGAAGAAATCGTCGAGGAACCCTAGGTGACCGAAGAAATCGTCGAGGAACCCAAGGTGACCGAGGAAATCGTCAAGGAACCCAAGGTGACCGAAGAAATCGTCGAGGAACCCTAGGTGACCGAAGAAATCGTCGAGGAACCCAAGGTGACCGAGGAAATCGTCGAGGAACCCAAGGTGACCGAGGAAATCGTCGAGGAACCCAAGGTGCCCGAGAAAGTGACCAAAGAGGTTGAGCAGGACAAACTGTTGAACTTATTGAAAGATGTTAAACTCTCCAAGAAATCGAGGAACTTTCTTCAGCAGATTCTGAAGGTGAACGAGAAAATCGTCGGGGAACGCAAGATGACCGAGAAAATCGTTGAGGAACCCAAGGTACCCGAGGAAATCGTCGAGGAACCCAAGGTGACCGAGGAAATCGTCGAGGAACCCAAGGTGACCGAAGAAATCGTCGAGGAACCCAAGGTGACCGAAGAAATCGTCGAGGAACCCAAGGTGACCGAGGAAATCGTCAAGGAACTCAAGGTGACCGAGGAAATCGTCGAGGAACCCTATGTGACCGAAGAAATCGTCGAGGAACCCAAGGTGACCGAGGAAATCGTCGAGGAACTCAAGGTGACCGAGGAAATCGTCGAGGAACCCTAGGTGACCGAAGAAATCGTCGAGGAACCCAAGGTGACCGAGGAAATCGTCGAGGAACCCAAGGTGACCGAAGAAATCGTCGAAGAACCCAAGGAATACTGAGCAGCCTGAACGAGAAAATCGTCGGGGAACGCAAGATGACCGAGAAAATCGTTGAGGAACCCAAGGTGACCGAGGAAATCGTCGAGGAACCCAAGGTGACCGAAGAAATCGTCGAGGAACCCAAGGTGACCGAGGAAATCGTCGAGGAACTCAAGGTGACCGAGGAAATCGTCGAGGAACCCTATGTGACCGAAGAAATCGTCGAGGAACCCAAGGTGACCGAGGAAATCGTCGAGGAACTCAAGGTGACCGAGGAAATCGTCGAGGAACCCTAGGTGACCGAAGAAATAGTCGAGGAACCCAAGGTGACCGAGGAAATCGTCGAGGAACTCAAGGTGACCGAGGAAATCGTCGAGGAACCCAAGGTGACCGAAGAAATCGTCGAGGAACCCTAGGTGACCGAAGAAATCGTCGAGGAACCCTAGGTGACCGAGGAAATCGTCGAGGAACCCAAGGTGACCGAGAAAATCGTCGAGGAACCCAAGGTGACCGAAGAAATCGTCGAGGAACCCAAGGTGACCGAGGAAATCGTCGAGGAACCCAAGGTGACCGAGGAAATCGTCGAGGAACCCAAGGTGACCGAGAAAATCGTCGAGGAACCCAAGGTGACCGAGGAAATCGTCGAGGAACCCAAGGTGACCGAGGAAATCGTCGAGGAACCCAAGGTGACCGAGGAAATCGTCGAGGAACCCAAGGTGACCGAGGAAATCGTCGAGGAACCCAAGGTGACCGAGGAAATCGTCGAGGAACCCAAGGTGACCGAGGAAATCGTCGAGGAACCCAAGGTGCCCGAGAAAGTGACCAAAGAGGTTGAGCAGGACAAACTGTTGAACTTATTGAAAGATGTTAAACTCTCCAAGAAATCAAGGAACTTTCTTCAGCAGATTCTGAAGGTGAACGAGAAAATCGTCGGGGAACGCAAGATGACCGAGAAAATCGTTGAGGAACCCAAGGTACCCGAGGAAATCGTCGAGGAACCCAAGGTGACCGAGGAAATCGTCGAGGAACCCAAGGTAACCGAAGAAATCGTCGAGGAAACCAAGGTGACCGAAGAAATCGTCGAGGAACCCAAGGTGACCGAGGAAATCGTCGAGGAACTCAAGGTGACCGAGGAAATCGTCGAGGAACCTTATCTGACCGAAGAAATCGTCGAGGAACCCAAGGTGACCGAGGAAATCGTCGAGGAACTCAAGGTGACCGAGGAAATCGTCGAGGAACCCTAGGTGACCGAAGAAATCGTCGAGGAACCCAAGGTGACCGAGGAAATCGTCGAGGAACTCAAGGTGACCGAGGAAATCGTCGAGGAACCTTATCTGACCGAAGAAATCGTCGAGGAACCCAAGGTGACCGAGGAAATCGTCGAGGAACTCAAGGTGACCGAGGAAATCGTCGAGGAACCCTAGGTGACCGAAGAAATCGTCGAGGAACCCAAGGTGACCGAAGAAATCGTCGAGGAACCCTAGGTGACCGAAGAAATCGTCGAGGAACCCAAGGAATACTGAGCAGCCTGTGTGCGTACGCCCGTCCCCCTCCCACCCCCCACCGCCGGCGACTCCGCTCGCCCACTCGAAATCGCCAGACTGGCGCAATATATAACAATAATGTCCAGGCGTGGCCCGCCCTGCCAACTGCTTTGTGATCTGTTCTCCCTCTCCAGCCCGTGATTTATCATTCTTTCGCGTCCGTCTTATTATTATTCGTCTCTGTTTGATACTTCGATTTCTTTAGCTTCGGGTAGAGGTTTGATATTTATTAAGGAATAAAGATAATTTAGGCATCCATAATATAAGTCTCTTTTGAAATGGGTATTCATATAGGCAAATCCTTTGAGCTACACAGGATAAGATCTAGATATACCGAAATGCCAATGAGAAAATAAATAAAATTCATAAAACTAGCTGGATCGACTTTAATAATACGTCTTACCACTATTATCATTATCATAATTTTTGAAGACTTTGAATTCGACATTTGTATCTATGGAATGATAATGCCACGAAAAGTTATTCCAGTCTCCTAAAATTGCTGGTTTACAGAAAAAATACAGAAAAAAATGTTATTAGTTCATAAGAGCGAAAATTGAGCAAGCACCATACTATCATAAACACCTAAAACTCTCCTGCGACATCCTGACGATACTTAAATATGAACAGCAGAATTATCTCAGTCAGCTTGGGAATGTGTTGAGTTTGTTGCAAAACGGTGACGGTATGTTGCAAGTTGTCCATGGGAAAGATCAGCCAATGGCCGGTAAAATATTCATTGATGGTCGCTGGGAAGTTAGTGCGCTCGGGGGAAGCGCCATATCCCTTTACACAAGCGGGTTTTAATGCCGTCTTTAATGGTGTTTTATCGCGGTAGTGGCAGGACCTGATGCTCATTTGTTTTATCGACTATCGGGCTTCGTCTAGGATCATGCCGACGAAGGACAGAGGGAGGGTATTTTTCTTTTTCAAATATATATATCTGTACGTGTGTGTGTGTTATGATAATAATAATGACAACAACAACAATAAAAAAACTATAATGATGATGATAATAATAATAATAATAATGATATAAATGATAATGATTATGAAAATAATAATGATAATAATGATAATAATAATGATATAAATGATAATGATTATGAAAATAATAATGATAATAATGATAGTAATTATGATAATAATAAAAAAATAACAATAATAACAACAGTGATAACAATAACAGAAATGATGATCATGATGATGATAACGATAATAATGATAATGATGATAATGATAATAATAATAATATAATGATAATGATAACAGTAGTAGCAATAATAATAATGATAATGATAATGATAATGATAATGATACTATTACTACTACCAATATAGGTAATGATGATGATAATGATAATGATAATAATAATAATAATAATATTAATAATAATAATAATAACAACGATAATAATAATAATAATAATAATAATAATAATAATAATAATAATAACGATAATAACAACAACAATAATAATGATAATAACAATAGGGATAATAATAAAAATAATAATAATAGCAATGATAGTTATACCATTATTATCATTATAATGGAGCATTATATAGAAATATTACCCCTCGTTATAGGTTATCCCATGTTTATAATTATTGCATGTATAACCTACATGTGTATTGGAGTTTTTTATTATCATTATTATTATTATCATTATTATCATTATTATTGTTATTATTATTATTATTATTATTATTATTATTATTATTATTATTATTATTATTATTATTATCATTATCATTATTATTATTATTATCATTATTATTATTATCATTATTATTATTATTATTATCATTATTATTATTATTATTATTATTATTATTATTATTATTGTTATTATTATTATCAATATTATTATTATTAATAATATTATCATTATTAATATAGATAATAATGATAATAATAACTATGATCATAATGATTATAGTAATGAAAATAACATCAATGATAATGATAACAGTAATAATAATGATAACAATAACCATGACAACAATGATAATAACAACAATAATGATGGTTATAAAAACAACAACCACAGTAATGATAACAATCACGATAATAATAATTATGATGCTGATAATGACAATGGTGATAATGATGATAGATTATAATTACGATAATGATTATAGTGATGACAGTAATGTTGATCTTTGAAATAATCATTTGACTAACAATGATAGCGATGTTAGTGATAATAACGATAATTGTAATATTAATAACAATAGTGATAATGACAATTATAACAGTAATGATGATGATGAGTATGATGATAATAGTAATGATGATAATAGTAACAATGATAATGATAATAACAATAATGATAAGGATAATAATAGTGATGATAATAATAGTAATGATAATAATAATAATAACAACAACAATAATTATGATAATGATAATGGTAATGATGATGATGATAATGATGATGATGATAGTAATAGTAGTAGTAGTAATGATAATAATAATAGTTTATAATAATAATAATCACCAATGTAATAAATAATAATGATGACATTAGAAATAGAATAACAAAGATTATTATCATCTTGCTACTATCTTATTATTATTACTATTATTATTATTATTATTATTATCTTTATCATTACTATTATTATTTATTTATTATTACCATTATTATCTTTATCATTGCCATAATTGTCACTGTTAATATTATTACTACTATTATTTTCATTATTATCCTTATTATTATGATTCTTATCATCATGGTTTACATATATTTTCATTACAATTTTGTTCATTATAATCATTATCATTATTATCATTATTTTAGTCATCATTACTAATATGAATATATTTATAATCATAATGACCATAATTGGCATCATGCATATCTTGACAAGCTAAATTTCTCCACCTCCCTCCCCCATCTTCCCCCTACTTCTCTCCCTCTCCCTTCACCCCTCCAACCCATCCTTGACTCTCTCACACCCTCCCTCCGCCCCCTCCACCCCCACCCCTTCTCCCTCCACCCCTTCCACCCCCACCCACTCCCCTTCCTCCTCAATAGCGTGGAGTTATCCAACACCGAATATAAAAGAGACGTCGTAATCAGCGCCTCCAATTCCCGAATACCCGAGAGGACCGGCGCCAGATTGCTTCGTGGGCGTGAAGGGCGGGGCGGCTTCCGTCCCATGGTAATCACCTTCGACTTCTCCAGGTAATGAGCTTAGGAACCGAGGTGAGTCTCGCCCGGTTGTCGCGTCGGGTGGTGGCTGAGGCAAGGCTGGTGGTGACGATGATATTGGTAGTATGGGTTGCAGTCGTGGTTCTGATGGTATTGTCAGTGGTAATTATTATAATGGTGATGGTTAGTTCTAGTATTTCTATTTACTTAATGTTGCTGTGTATTATGATTTCTATTTACTTAATGTTGCTGTGTATTAGGATTTCTATTTACTTAATGTTGCTGTGTATTATGATTTCTATTTACTTAATGTTGCTGTGTATTAGGATTTCTATTTACTTAATGTTGCTGTGTTTTAGGATTTTTATTTACTTTATGTTGCTGTGTATTAGGATTTCTATTTACTTAATGTTGCTGTGTATTAGGATTTCTATTTACTTAATGTTGCTGTGTATTAGGATTTTTATTTACTTTATGTTGCTGTGTATCAGGAGAATAGGTGCTAGACTGAGCATCAGTGGCCCTGAGGCAAATGGTATGTACTGTGCAAGCAATAGTACAGATGGCGAGGCTGTGATAACACTGCAGGCGCTGAATGGTGCTCGGCGTTGCCCTCCGTAGGCGTAGCAACACAAGAGGGGCGATGCTTCCTTTGCCCCTAGACTCGAGGGACCTCCCATAGGGTCGCTGAGGCTTTCTTGAATGCTTGTCCCCTGGCGGCTGATATGCACCGAGATATTTGTTTAAGTGAATGGAGGAGGAGAGAGAGAACGGGAGAAGAGAGCGGTACGTGAGAGAGAGAGTAGAAAATTTTCTGTTTTGAAACGATGTGTGTGTGTGTGTGTGTGTGTGTGTGTGTGTGTGTGTGTGTGTGTGTGTGTGTGTGTGTGTGTGTGTGCGTATGTGTGTGTGTACGTGTGTGTGTGTATGTGTGCGTGCGTGTGCGTGTGCGTGTGTGCGCGCGCGTGTGTGTGTGTGTATGTGTGTGTATGTGTGTCTGTGTGTGTTAGTGTATATGTGCGTGTATATAAATGCATTCTCACTGGCGTCATGCTGAAACCCGAGCACAGTTTCTGCGATAATCCCGGAGCCAAGACTTAATCACGGCCTTCAGAACCTCCTGAGCAAATAAATCACGTTCCTCATTGAGTGGCTCGGATTTGCAAGGCGAACCGATCTAAATATGGAGCGCGGGGAATATCTTCGTGGTAGAGAGATGAGCTGTTGCCATGACAACCAAAATTGGCCAGGGTAACATATCGGTAAAGAGCTTTTCGAGTTGAGGATTGAAAGAGGGCGGGGTAGGGGGGGGGGGCAAAGGAGAGAGAATGAGGATAGGGAACAGAAGTAGAAGGTGGGGAGGGAAGGAATAGGAGAAAGGAAAGGAAGTAGAAACAAGGAGAGGGGAAGGAGGAAGGAGAAAAGGAGAAACAAGAAACTTGAAGAACGGGCTGGGAATATTTTTCATTTTTTTTTTTTTTTTATAAATTAAGATGATTCTAGAGGTAGTAATGGGACTAAAAATAGTAGCATTCATAATGAAGATGTGAATACTAATACTACTATTACTATGAACTACTACTGCTACTACTTCTACAAAGAGTGGTACATCAACAGCAACAACAACTGTTACTACTACTATAACTACTACTGTACTGCAAATACTACTGCTAATGATAACGATACAAAAAAGTGACGATAATGATGATGATGATGATGATGATATTAATGATGAAAATAATAATGATAACAGAAAAAAAAAACATCAGTCGTGATGAAAAGGATAATACCACAGATGATACTCAGAATCATTATAATCATCATAAGTATAATATAATTGTAATTGTAATTATATATCATCGTTATTACTATTATGCTATTATTTTTATGATTATTATCATTACTATTACCATATTCTTATTGTTGCAGTCATTACTATTATTATCATTATTATCATTATAATTACTATCGCTATCATTACTGTCATTTTTCTAAAACCTTCATTACTGTCATTATATCTATTGTTTTTATTATGAGTATAATACCTTTATATATTCATTATTTTGGCAATCATTATTATCAATGCTACTGATATTATCAGGATCAATATGATTTATGTTAGTGTTTTTACTATTATCATTATTTTTTCACGATAATAACA